AATATTAAATTTAAATTACAAATTTTACAAGATATTAACTAATTATATCTTAAATTTTTATTTTAGCTTAGAAATAGGGGGGTTAAGCATAATAAAATTTTGAGTAATTACAAAATTACAAAAAAAAAAAAATTTTAGCAGGCAAATTTGGCCGCTGGACGGTTTAAGGGATAATGATAAAGAACATTAATGTTAACATTAAATCTAAAGGTAAGTGTAACTAATCTTTGCTTGAACTACATGCATATTTTAGTGTATATGTTTTGCATATATGCATAAGAGTATGTATGGTGCAGGAAATTTATAAACTTCAATCTCCATGTCAAGATAATGTATAAACTTGTAGCTTATTAAATATAAATTTCCTAATTATCATTCTCAATAAAGCAATGGGCATGGAAAATAATATACCAAAAATAAGCTGCTACTTAATTTAGCTTATCTTCAATGTAATGATTGCTTGTTGCTCTATATAAAGTGATTTCTTGTATCATACATATGTATATATTTAAAGAATGTAACATTTTGCATAAAAAAAAATTACAACCATTTCTATCTTCAAAGACATTTATACTTACAAAAAAAATTTGAATTATTAAATTTCATGGATGCTAAAGCCAGAAATATAAAAATTACGGATCATTATATAAAAAAATAGCATAAACACAAAAAATGGAGTATATTTAAATATGTAGTATTGAAGGTCACTACAAAAATAGTACCAGTAATAATAAAAAACATTATAATAAAATCTGAATTCTATTAAAATTAGAAAATAAAGGTATAGATTGTTATAATGAAGAGTAAAAAAAAAATATTTAAATAGTATTTATGATCTTAAGACAGTAATGCAACTTTAAATTCTGTTAAGATAATATAAAAAAAATTTAATATATCTAGTAGTAGGATAATTTGATGAAAAATAGTATAAGAACAGGATTCCAAACAATCTACAAACAGCTAATAATTTACAAAAATTACTAAATATAGAAATATCTGCAGAAAAAGGGCTGAAATAAGCAAACTAATTACTATAAATAGAAAAGATTAACAAAAAATAGTCTGAAATAAGCAAATTAAAATCTTATCTATCTATAGATTGTTTGGGGTTCTGTAAAAACTATGAAGAATGAAAAAAGAATTTGTATATATAATATAGAAGGTATATGAATAAAATTTGGTATAAATTATAATTATTAAATGAATCTATTAATTTTTTGAATAAAATAACCAAAGTAAACTTTTAAATATTTATTAAAAGCATCAGCAATAAGAACCTTTATATTATATATTTAGCTATTATGTATGATTTGCTGATTATCTAATCACTATAAAATCACAACTATAAATTTAAGATCTTAAGCAATGCAAAATCAAAACAGTAAACTTTTTTTTGGTTGATCTTTAGTATAGGTGAATATATATAATTATTATGCAATTCTAATAAATATAAATTAAATATTTTGAACTAATTTAGGTAATTTTATAAATTATTAGAGTTAGAGTTAAAGTTAGAATTTAAATTAGCTCAAATTAATTAGGTTTTATATATTATAATCTTGTAATAATTTATATATGTCACCTATACTAAAGAAGATCTAAATTTTTTACTATAGTTGTTTTTAGAAAAGGTGCTAAAAAAGCATATAATAATCAAAAAAGGCACCTGTAGTTTATAAAAGAAAAACTAATAGTTTTATATTATTTACAAGAAACTAAAAGTGTAAAAGCAATTTAAGAAAGTTTAAATTTCAATCTAAACAAGTATGTGATTGAAGAAATAAAAAAGAAACATTAATGGCAGCCGCACTATGGATTCAAAAGTTAAATAAAGAAAGCTTACCTAGCTTTCTTAATCTTAAAACTAAATTAGCTTTATAAATTGAGGATATTCATAGTAAAGAAAATGCAATTTTACATCTTATAGTATTGAAAAAGCAAAAAATAACGACAAAACATACTTATCGAATTTAGTATCCTAATATTATCTCATTCAAATTTTCAAATAAATAGTTGGATAGATTTATGGTTAGACATAATTTTTCTAATTGCCATTATACTACTATTTCTCAATATCTTCCTAATGATCTGATTAAAAGCAGCAAAATTTTTTAAGCTATATATTATATTATCATAATTAGCATTAATATTCCTTAATGTATATAGGAAATATAGATGAAACTTTACTCTTATTTAATATTTTCTATAATACTAGTTTAGAAAAAACTAGATTAAAAACTGTAAACATTTGCACTACTAGTTATAAATGGGCAAACTTTACTATTATCTTAGCATATATAGCTAATAAGTATAAATTACTGGCTGTTATAATTTTCAAACTAAAGAATTTCCAAAACAAAAAACATTTTCTGTGAGTATTTATATATGTAATAATGAAAAAGATTGGTATAATAAAAAAGAGATGCTTTGGTAGATTGAAGAAATTTGAACAAAGTGAAATTTAGCTAAAAATCCTCAATCTTTGTTAATTTATAATGCGTTTAAAGGATATACTATTAATTCTATCAAAAATAAACTTAAAGAAAAAATCTAAATATTAATATAATTTCAGGTAAATTAACTTCAAGATTGCAACTTCTTGATGTATCTGTTAATCATAGTTTTAAAGCAAAGATAAAATTTATTTATATTATTTAATATTAGTAATAGTAGTTAATACTAGTAATAGTAATTTATTATTATTTGTAGTATCAAGCATTGTATAAAGATTAGATAGCAAATATAGTATATGAGCCTACTAAAGCTAAAAAACTTAAATGACCTTCATATATATTAGTTGCAGAATGGATAAAAAAAGCCTGAAAAAATGTAGACTCAAAGTTTATTAAAAATCATTACAATGTTTTGATATTTTTATTAAGACAGATAGTTCTGAAAATAATCTTTTATTTAATTATAATAGAGTAGAATGATTAGAAAAAGCAAATCAATTAGGATTTGAGGAAAATGAAGTTACAGTATTGGATGAAGCTACAAAATTGAATAAAGCTACAGAATTGGATGAAGTTGCAGAATTAGATGAAGATATACAAATAAATAATACATATAAAAGTTTAGAAGATAAAGAAAACAAATATTATACTAATAAGAATGATTATATTAATCATTTAGTAGAATCTCAAGAAATTAATATTGTCAGTAATAATCTTAAAAATATGAGGTTAAGTGAAGATAATGAAGAGGATAGTGATTTAGAATTAAGAATTGGAATCGTTATTCATTTAACCACATATAATCATTTATTTATTTTATACGGTTAAACGAGTAAGAGATTTTATAAACAATTAAAAGCCGTTTAATTATTCGCTTAACCGTTTTAAAAAGTTTATACAATTAATCGTTTATTAATTATTTAATGCTTCACGTGAAGACAAAAAAAATCATAATGACGAAAAATTTGTAATTCTATATATAGGCCAACATTCTAAAAACTAATAGGTAAGTGCTTTTTTATGATCCAAAACCCACACTTTTTTGGTTTTCTTTGGTGAATTGAGAAGTTCCTCAAATACTAAACTATTAATAAATTAAATTACAAGACCTCTATAAATAATATTACTATCATGTAAAGTGTTATTTCTTGGAAATATGTAGTAGCAGCTTGGTTGTCCACTGTAAAGAATTAGTATTGTAGTCAAAATTTGTTCTACTGCGAAAGTGTGTCCAAGGTTTGTCATGCGTGGCATAACAATCGAAGAAAGCTTAAGTGAAGAATGTTAATTAATTGAGTGTCAAAAAGGAAAAAAAAGTAGGTGAGAAGTACTTATTGCTTTGGGTTTTATGTAAGGGTTCAAATTTATGAGCAGTAATTGATTGGAATTACAGGAGTAAATCGAAAGGTAAATAATGATATAATGCGATGTATAATAGATTAGCAATTAATGAATCAAAAATAGTTTGTGATTAATGCTTAAACATATATAATAAAGAGAAATATTTAGTCCCTTTCTTACTTCGCTTTAAATAAATACTGGTAAAACTGATAAACCTTACTTTATGCCAATAGATTTGCCATAACCTACGTTTATGGTCATTGAGGGATAAGGAGTAGTTAGGCGTAAACAAGAAAAAATAGGAATATAGAACCTGATAATAATGATGATTAATAAAAAATTTCTAAATTATCAATTCATTACATAGAGATTACCTTTGATCTTTTTTTTTTTTCGAATAACGATATATGTACGTACCTGTTTTGTAAAATATCAAAAAAAAAATCAAATATAGGATTTAACTTTGATACAGTATAATACAAGCTTTAAAAATAAAGTTGAATCAATTTCTTTAATGTACCGGTATAATCCTGTAATTATCGATAATATATGATTATTGTATGTATAACATACGAAAATTGGAATTTGTATAGTACAAGTTTTAAAATTTTAATTATATACTAAAATTGGAATTTGTATCAAACGCACAAACCTTAAAAAAAAAAAAAAGTTAAATCAATTTCTTTTCGTTAAAGATGAATATTCAGAATAGTGAAAATTTTGTTGACAAAGATTTAGAATTTGATAGCGAACCTGATAATAATGATAACACTGAAGAAATAGGATCTTCCTCTAAATCATCAAATAATCAAAAAACTACGGGCTTGCCCAAAAAAAAGAAAAAACGTAAACTTATAGCTAAAGCATGGCAATATTTTAGCTTAGTAGGGTCTTCTGCAATATGTCAAGTTGAAATAGTTGAAGATAGAAAAACAAAAAAATGTGGCCGCATATATGATCATTCTAACTCAAATTCAACAACAACAATGAACTATCATATAACACAAGAACATGATATAGTTCTTCAAAGTCTGGCTAAAAAGGTATTATTATTTAATTTATCATTAAATTTAATAAATCTAATTATACATATTATCCAAATTACTATAATAGGTAGAAAAAAAACCAAGTTACACTTGAACAAGTTATAGAAAAGATAAAGCCGCATGGCACAAGCAAACAGAATGAATTACAATTAGCATATACAGAATGGATCATTTTAGACTCTTTGCCATTTAATACACTTTGTGGAAAGGGATTTCAACGATTTATAAAAAAAATTGATCCACAATTTAAACCACCATCTGACAAAGGATGTAAAAATTTTATAGTAGCAGCTTATCAAGATGGCATAACTAAACTTAAAATAAAAATTAATGAAACATGTGAATATGCTGCAATTACTACAGATCTCTGGACCACAAGGTCAAAATTTTGATATATCGGTATTACAATTCACTGGCTTACGCCTAATTTTGAAATTATTGATATTCTTCTTACTATTAAATGTATGCGATATCCCCATACAACTGAGAAAATATATGATTATCTTTACAATAAAATGAATGAATTCGAATTAAATAAAAATTATTTATAGGAGTCACTGACAATGGCTCAAATATGAAAAACGCCTTTGCAATATGGGAAAATACTGAATAGTTATTCTGTTCCGCTTATACTCTTCAACTAATAGTAAGAAAAGGTTTAAAAAAAATCAACCCTTATGTAAATAGATTTAAAAAATTAGTAACCTTTTTTACAAAGTCAGTTAAACAATCTGAACGGCTCGATGCAGCACAAATAGACCTTGCACGACAAAATCATATGCGAGAAGGAGAAGTTAAAATTATTCGATTTAATCAAATATTAGCTCTTGAGATGGATGAAGAAATTGATTCAAAAAAAGGTGAAGATGATGAAGAAATTGATGTATCTACAATAAAAATATTACGTAATATTTCCGATATTAGTACTAGATGGAACTCCAGTTACTCTTCATAGAACTGACTTTTACAATTAAAAGAAGCAATCACCTGGCTAGCTTCCGTATTACTATTAAAAAAAGGAAAGGAAAATCAAAAAGATGGTCAAAAATTGTCACAGCTACTTTTAAAAGACTATGAGCGGAAGTTATTAAAAAGAATTGTTAATTTATTAAAACCATTTGAATTTGCAACAACATTTTTTTCAGGAAGCAAATATCCTACCCTTTCATTAATGTATTCTATTATTTGTGAATTACAAAATAAATTTTTAGATGTTAGTTTAGAATTAAGTGATAATAATGAAGATAATGATGACGATAATGGTAAGTTTTGCTAGGTTGGTACTAATCTTCATTTTATTAACATAACAATTTATATTTAAGATTAGTAATCATTATTAATATCATATGATATGAATATATAATTCATTATTATTTAAAATCTGCAACAGTATTCTTGTATATTCCCTTTATTCATACAGTACTTTGGGAGGTTTTTTTTTATACTTATTTTGGCATGTTTGAAAAAGACAGGGTACTGTATACAACTGTACAGTAATCAAAATCAAATATAGAAATCAAAATATAACTTTTTGTATTTTATAAAATCAGATATATTAGATTCTGAAAATGAAGATGACAACACTCTATATGCACCACCACCACCACCTGATCTCGATCAAATCGAAAAGAACTTTAAAATTGTTATTTCAAATTCTTTAAATAAATATTGGTATGATTTTTGTGATATTGGATTAATAGCCAGCCACACTTTTAGACCCTCAAACAAAAAAAATTCCAGCATTTACAAATAGAGAACGAGAAAAGGCCAGAGAAAAATTAAAGAATGAATTTGAGAATTTACAACACCTTAACTTTACTGATAATTATCAACCAGAACAACAAACATCAACACCAATAAGTACTGAAATTATGCAAAATCCATTTTTTGAAGGTATTTTTGGAGCACAAAGCCAAGATACGCCTCTAGATGAAGTGACACAATATTTAAATATGGCCCATATTAATTACAATGCCAATCTTTGGCAATGGTGAAACGATCATAAAACTGAATTTCTGATTTTGTCACTATTGGCACGTAAATATTTATGCGTACCAGCAACGTCTGTCCCATGTGAAAGACTGTTTACGGATGCAGGAAATTTGGTTACTTCCCAACGTATGTGATTAGGCTCAAAGATTGTTGGAAAAATTCTTTTTCTTAAACGTAATGCTGAATGTTTGGGTATGTTTAAAATTTTATATATAAGGTGATGCAAACTTAATTAATTGATTTTCATAACCCGGCCAGGTCAAATTTTGTTTATGTTTTAATAACCAGGTAAGTTTTTAAGAAAATGTTTATAAAAACTATAAAATTTTCATATATGAAATTTTAAGAAAAAGCTGGCCGGGTTTATTTAAATTCTCATAAAAATCAAGACATTAAATTTGTATGATCTAATTTAAATTCAAATGTAATTTTTTTATATGTAATTTTTTGTTTCATATTATTTCGCAATAGAGTTAATCAAATAATGAGAAGCTATAAAACACTATCTAGATTGAAAAGGATGAATGCAAGAACATCGGATATTCAATGTTATTGGATTATACTATGAAAACAGTATGGGCACAATCAAAAATGAAAAACAGCAATTGAATAACATTTGAAATCTGCTGAAGGCAGCAACTCAAGTAATTACAATATGGGATTGAAAGGGATAAATGTATAAATTTACATTTTATTAAATATAAGAAATATAGGACAGTGTTAAAAATTTTGTACAAATATTAGTGCAAAAAGAATTTTGTGCATTATTTTTTTTGTACATTTTGTAATAAAATTTTAACTCTGAATATAAGGGTGCAACTAAAATAAATTGAATAAAGTGTCTTAAATATATAATGCGAATTCAGCTAATCATCCTTTTTTTGTCTTTAAAAAAAGAAGTAATTATTTATACACTCACTTAACGATAATCTTCTTTAATCAGAGATGTTATTAGCTTAACCGGCTTGCATATTTAACTATTGTAACAACCGATTGCTAGTAAGACCAAATAAGCCGGTAATAACCTAACACAATTAAATATATTGTTAGTACTGGATGTTTCAATAATTATATAAATAGTTATATGAATACAGTTAAACAG